AGTGGTGTTCGAATTTATTTCTACAGTAGCATTACATAAAGTAATTTGTTGAACAAAATCAGCAGGGTAGAAACGTGGAGGTTCTGGTTAGATAAAGTTGGACATGCCATAATTATTAACATAATTAGTAAATTCATGAAACATTCAGCATTGTATCGAGAAATAATTATATATCAGAACCTATCGAAAATACCAATTAATATTTTCTGAGTATCTAGAAATATATTTACATTTTAAAAATAAATTCAGAAAAATGTTAAAATATATGACAAAAAATATTCATAGAATTAAAGAGAAATATTGAAAAAAATATGTAGAACTATTTTGGAATAATAAAAAATATGTAGAAATATTATATTTAGAAGTATTAAGAAATATTTAGAAATTGTAAAAATATGTGCAGAAATACCAGAAGTTTAATATTAGAATAATCAAAAATAAATTCAGAAATGTGTTTAGACATATTTACAGATATACTTTTTACTATGAAAATATATGTTGAAATATAGTCAGGAATATATCGAAAAATATCTAGAATATTAAGAAATATATTTAGGAATATGTGGAAATATAATAAGAAATATTAGTGAAAAGAATTAGAAACATTTATGAATATTTAGAAATATTCTCGGTTTCTACTTCCTCCAGCAGTGGTTTGATAAATCACATCAACTAGTGAGCATATAAAATATATATCGTGGTGGCGACTTGGTGGACGCGGGTCCGAGAACCCCAGCACTTCAGTTCGACTCAGCATAGCAACCTGTGTATAGGTAGTACATATCGTAGTGACGACCTCACTGACTCGGGTTCGATGGTCCCCGAGTACCTTAATGCCACTCAGCACATCACACTGTGTATATATGGTATATGTCGTGATGGCGACCTCGGGGGCCCAGTGCGAGGTCCCCGAGTACTTCAGCTCGACTCAGAATGTCAAAGTGTACAGGAATCACCATGAAAATTGGTGGCAATCCAAAGGTCACGTGGCGACCTAAAGGTCACTGGAACTTCCGTTTCATCGAACCCTCAACATATCTTGAATTAGAAACGCAGTCTCGCTACGTTCGCCCGCTCAATGAGAAAACCTCGGTGGCGACCTCGGTGGCCCAAGTTCGAGATCCCCGAGTACTTCAGTTCGACTCAGCCCTTCAAACTGGTTATATAATGAGAAGATCTCGGTGGCGACCTCGGAGACGTGGGTTCGAGGTCCCTAAGTACTTCATTTGAACTTCGAAAAAATTCCTCCCTCTTTTTGACCATATCAAAATTCCTCCCTCCCTCGCTTCAAAAATTCCTCCCTCTTTTTGACCATGCAGAAATCCCTCCCTCTCAATATTCCTCCCTCTTTTTGACCCTGGCCTGACCGAGGAGGGCGCTACCAATCCAGTCATTCAAGATATTATAATAACAAGCCGCACTTTTAGGACACCATTCTGTGTTCAAACTGTCAATAATGCGCAGAGGACCAGCAGTCGCAAGGTATAGGTTGCTGCAGAATAGATTCATAACATAAAAGGAAAACGCGGATCGTAGTTGCCTATGGGTGACAAAAATCGTCAAGACAAAACCGTTTGTCAGAATTGTTAGCACCATAATGCTGCAATGAAAAGCTATTTCTCCATAATTAATATCAGAACTTTCGCCTTTTGACGCATTTGAAGCGGAAGCCGAAAAATTGAAGGCTGGAGAATTAAGTACAGATACATCCAAAGCGTGAAAATGATGACCGGGAAATCAGTATTGCCGCTGATATTCGTCATGTTGAAGAACCTGCTTCATCTCCGAATAAATCTTGTGTCACGTTTGATCACAACGACATCCACAACAGCAAAGCGATGCTGCTACTTGCTAGTTCAATCAATCTGAAGTCTCAAAATGCTTATTCAGCGGTTTGAGTAAGAGCTTCTAGGGTAGCTTTCTAGATTCGAAAAATGGATGACGTAGTTATATCGCTAATGCGGCTGCTACTGGGTTACAGAATCGAGAAAACACTGGATCAGCGACTCCCTTTATTAGTCATTTGGATCATTTTGTACGCAAGGACGAAGGAACCAAAGCTGCAGTCAGATCATCCACTGTTTCGAACAGTAGTTAGTATTGTCTGGAAGAATGAAAATGGCACGTGACCTTGTGATGGCGTCCTGCTACAAAGGATTGAGATAAGATCGCAATGGTCGAGAACCACTTTATACAACCTTTCATAATTCACAAATCATATATGAGCTTGGGTCACCGTGGGGTAACCAAGCTTTCAAAATGTCCTAATTAGCTGTCAGAAGACATTTTGCATATTTGCAGTAGCTACGCTGGTGATTCTATAACATTTCCAAATTATTTACAGTCACGCTTTCAGTCATAATGGCCTATCGGTCGATTGAGTCTTGTCAATCGATAGGCCGTTCTGTAGAGCATGATACGGCAATGCCAAAATTGGACGCTGGAAAGTGGAAACACACATCATTTCCTGGGATACCGTATTACATAGTTATTACTAACAGTAGCAGATGTGATATCATAGTTCTTTATTAGCAGAAGTCACTCACATACCAAATTTTGTTAACAAAAACAGGAGAAAAATTCGTAAGCAGTAAGCACTATCCTTGCGTCCGCCGATACATTGCACATCACGGCTAAATTGAAGCGGCCATCAGCATTTACATTAGCTGCTAATGTAATTGCTGATGGCTGCTTCAATTAGAAAAACATCAGCGTTTACAATAGATTAACTGTTTGAACAGGTTTGCGATGACCCCTCGCAAATCCGATAAAACCAAAGTGAACAAAATAGGATCCACAAAACACTGCATTTCAAACAGAACTTGACCGATCATTCGCAAAACTACCAAATTTACCATATACTCGTCACCCAGCACCGCCTGCAGAATGTTGTTAGCTTTCGTTGGTCCCCAACAAATCAGCACGCTTACGGTCATTGTTGTCAGAACATAGAACGGTTTTCTGGTACCCTCTCTCTGTCGCGTGCTTGCCGTGTGTCTTGTCGCTGTGATCACAGTTGTCTTTTCCGCAGCCGTTACACTGTTTGGAAACGTGTTCTGGCCTACTTGATGCCTGACAGTGGTTTTCCGATTTGCTCGACCCTTCCGATACAACAGCGGATAGGCGCACAAAATAACGAAAAAAGGTAACTGGAAGAAGACATTCAGTAGAAATTGTGAGTAAATTTTCTGTTTATCGGTATCCACGTCGCAGTAGTTAACGCTGAGAGTTGGACCGCGATAGTAGACGAAGTCAATCATAATAAAGGGCAAGATCAGCACGTGACAGTATAGAGCACAACCAATGCAAATACATTTGGCCATAGTTCGCGTGTGCAGGTTCTTGTACGAAATAGGGAGCATGATCGCCCAGACGCGATTCAATGTGATCAGTAGATGCGCATGTCCGAGAATGGCACTTCCAATCCAGTCGTTTATGATATGATAATAACATGCCGCCGTTTTAGGATACCATTCCGTGTTCATGCTGTCGATGATGCGCAGTGGATCAGCAATTGCCAGGTACAGGTTGCTGCATAACAGGTTCATCACATAAAAGGAAAACGGTGAGCGTAGTTCACGATGGGTGAGAAAAATCAGCAGGACAAAACCGTTCGTCAGACACGTCAATACCATAATGCTGTAATAAAAAGCTATTTTCCCGTTGCTGTTATCCGCGGAGCTTCCGTTGTTAGAGGTATTCGATGTAAAAGCCGAAAAATTAATGACTCCAGAATTGAGTACCGGTACATGTGTATCATAAGCAGAAAAATTCCTATTCGTAGAATTAACATTGCCGCTGATATTCATTTTGCCGAAAAAAAACAAAAAACCTGGTGTAATGTGCACTACTGGAAATACTTGGGGAATGAGACCCTTCCGGCAACTATTTATGAAAATGAAAATTCAACCAGTCAGCTATGCTAGGCCGAAATCGATTAATAAGTAAATTAGGAAGCGGATGCTACCGGAAGCTGTTGTAAATACCGTGCTTGATTAACTGAATCAGGAAATTCGCGCGACTGTTGAATATAAGTGACCTTTAATTCCCTTCTTGCATAATCAGTACGTAAACTCAGAGACACTGAGCACGTCACAAAGTGACATTGCGGTTTCACTGCGGTTCCGCGACGAACATACCAGCTGGTAATTACAATACGAAATAAACTTCAACAAAAATGTCGCCGCATACATTGCTTTTGTTGACTGAAGTTATCGATTACTGAAAGCGTCGAACACGTTGATAGGGTAATAAAAGCTTTAGCATACTCATTGCTGACGTAAATGACGGCACAACCGCTCACAATACTCATAATTTTGGTTCAGTGCTTGTTTGGACGCAAACTGATCGAGAGCTTTGCAAAATTCAAGATCGTGTATTCGTCGGTATCGTGACATTAGTAAACCTGTGGTTGCATTTTTGCGTTAATCTTACACTTTTATGAATGCATTTGCTGACTTCAGCGTGCTTTTTGCTTTTTATTGTTTTGTTGTCATCATTCAGTAGCAACTACTTACCTACTTACTGGTTAGTGGTTTCAGAATAATAATTATTTATAAGTGCGAAGTATTCACATTTTTTTGAAAGTACTCGTTTGTGATCGTTAACCGTATTTGTACAGATACGATCCTGATGAAATAATTAGGTAAATAATAATGGTGCATGTACTATGTACATAACAATACGTATCTTCAATGATCAAAGCACCGCCAGCACCACTGAGTACTGTATGTATATATACGAGTACCCCAGAGCGAAAAATTATTTTGCATTTGTGTTCGTGTCGAGACATTTGTCCTATGCATTTGTCCATTTTGGTATTCCGTTTCATGTAATACCATTAGTGTTAATTCTGTAAGCACACGCCACAAGTTCTCAACTGATTGTAGAATCTGTATGTACATCTATATATAATGCAAGCACGAACTTACGGACAAAAACAAAGAATCTACAGATCTCATCGAACGTAAGAAATCAGTAAGGCAAAAGTTGTGGCCAATACTAAATCACCGACAAAATTCTAATGGTTTAACGCTGCCGTCCAGTGGTATACAAACATTAATCGGGGTAACGCTTCTGCAGTCGTCAAGTGAAAACTATGACGTGTTTCCATTCAAAACTTTGTAGGAAACTGGTGGATAAGAAGTACTCCCTTTATATCTGGTAACAATTATTCTCTTCATATCAAGTTTCATTCCGGCGCTTCCATAGCAATAATTGTCGCGTAGCGTTATATACGAGTATGGCATATTCCGCAAAGGCGTCTAATGCCTGGAACATCGCCGCGTATACAGTTGTCTTTTACAAAATAGTTGTCCACAGATGTTGCCAACGACCACGCGTAAATCGGACAAAACCAACGTGAACACGATGGGATCGATAAAGCACTGAATTTCATACATAATTTGTCCAGTCTTCCGCAACTCTTCATAAACATTCGAATCACTGCCCAGCACCGTCTGTATGATGTTGGTCACTTTGGTGGGTCCCCAGCAAATCAGCACGCTCAACGTCATGGCCGTTAGAACGTAGAACGGTCGCTTAACCCCCTCTCTGTGTCGTGTGCTGCCCGCCTGCGGTACATGAGGCAAGGTCACCTTCTCCGATGCGCCGCCAAGGATTATATTGGGATTGAAGAGCCTCGCACTGACCTTCTGCGTTGAGTGTCGCTTCCAGAATAGCAGCGGGTAGGCTCCCAGAATGATGAAAAAGGGCACTTGAAAAAATCCACGTAGCAAAAAATCTGAATACATTTTCTGTGATCCCGTGTCAATATCGCAGGAGGTGACGTTAAGTGTCGGACCGCGATAGTATGCAAAGTCGATTATAATAATAGGCAAAATTACTAAATGGCAGTATACAGCGCATCCGATACAAATGCATTTCGCCATAGTTTTAGTATGCTGCTGTTTATACGAAATGGGAAAGACGATGGCCCAGACGCGGTTTAATGTGATCAGCAGATGCGCATGTCCGAGGATGGCGCTACCAATCCAGTCGTTAATAATTTGAAAGTAGCAGGCTGTTGTTTTGGGATACCAGTCGGTGCTGATGCTGTCGATAATTCGCATTGGATCGGCAATCGCCAGGTACAAATTGCTGGATAACAGATTCATCACGTACAGAGCAAACGGTGAGCGTAGCTCGCGGTGAGTAAGAAAGGTCATAAGGACAAGGCCGTTTGTCAGGAGGGTCAATGCCATTGCTATAGCGGAAAAGGTCATCCTTCCATAATTATTATCGCAGCTTGCGTTGTTTAATGCGGTGGTATTATGCAGCATCTGGACGACAGAATAATTCGCATCAGAAGAATTATCGCGAGTCATTTTTGCCCGTGTTTGACTTTAAAAATCTCCAGATTTCGTGTTTGTAAAGCCCGCACGTTAAGCATAATCACGATAGGACAGCTTCGAATCGCAATTTTATATGGCTTAAACAAAAATTCGTTTAGCTCTGTTTAAGCCGGTTAATCCGTATAAAATAATGCAACTGGAAATAGAGCAGCCAGCTGTCGATGCTGCACTAGTACATACGCTTGATTAGCTCAATCAGGAAACATCCGCAATTCAGGAACTGATGCGACCTTGAACCACTGCGGCGCTTATCGGATTAACCTGGAATCATGTTATAGGAGGACTTTTTTGCAGTGCGTCATACAGGAACAGCTGTGTGCTCGTTATACGAGTAACAAGGGTAATATGCATGCTTAACGGAATTCAATTTTGCATTATAGCATTCCTGAAAAGAATTTTTTTTGCAACGATGATGGGAAAGATGATTTTGGCATACGTATCCTCTGTGGATCACAAAATAATTAGGTGTGTTTTACCTACGTCACGTGAAAAATACCGGGTAATGGAAAATTGATTGGTACGTTAAGAGTGGCATGAGTAATCTGGTTTACTGGTACATTACCGTTTTGCCTGAATAAAGACTGGATCATTATACCACTTTCGACAGCACCGACGATACCATCAAATGCACAGGCTGGTTTCTGTGTTCTTTCCTACCAGGTAGAACGCCGTAATAATTCTCGCCATGGACTATGAAGGCCATTTACGATATTAGCGCAATAAGAGAACCAAGGAAAGAATATTGGAGATGGTTCAGAATTATGAGAAGGCCATGAAAGTGGAAATAAACATTAAAATTGTAATACTGTAAGTCCTGAACAAGCAGCTCTTCTGATTGAAAGGCACAATCGGCACTCTTTTCAATACAATAATAATTTACAGTAATTGAGTATGCTACTGATCGGCTGTATTCTTGGAAAGCCGAAGTGAAAATTCGAAAGATCGGAAGCTGTGTTGATCCGTCCCATGATCAGTACTTCCGCCTGGTAATTCAGATGCAGAATAATATTAACAGATTCTTGTGAGAGTTTACGGATACAGTGTAAAGTACGCAAACACCTGTAAATGTCACTTAAAAATATTAAACTTATGACGATTTTTTACAAAACAGGGGTACATTTCGAGTCAAATACAAATTATTGTTTACAACAACAAAAGTCCAGTTATCGCTGCCGTTCCTTCCAGTGTTCCGAGTACGGAAGCGGCGCTGTCTCATGGGATTTCGAGGGGTATGCGTTGTCGAAGAAGCTCATGAGAGCGCGGTTCATTGGCATAGCGGTTTATTAACATCGCGGTTATGATTAACATAGCACAGAAAATCTTGTACAAATTTAAATCAATATTCTCTTGAAATTATTATTACATAGTTTTAACATCCAGTCTATTTCCCCCGGCAAAAAATGGAGTGAGCTGATGGGTTGACCTTTAGAATGAGCTAGCGAGGTGACCTTTAAACAATCCCGTGTCGTGATAATTCCCTCTGTTAGATCATTATTGTCATTAGTTTGGTGACTTGGTCAGAGCAGAACATAATGAAATTCCTGATGCTTCCTTTGAACATAAAAACTACACAGAAGAAGAGCTACATTATGTGTCAAAGTTCAGCCAATAGTGGTCTCAAAACCCTACGGACACCGGCGCGCCACTATCGTCCATTTTTGCACGGGTATGATCAGTAAACAAAACATTGTCTATAGAGGATTCGACCGTTGCGTATTACAAAGGGAAATGCTCCCAAATGGCTACCATACCAAGTTGTCAAAACTGCACCTTGTAAACATAAAGTGTGACGACTGTGTAGCTAGCCAGCTAGCCAGTAAACTCAGCTGACTGTACAGATCTGTACGCTGGGTACAAGTACAGAGACCTTAACAGAGTCTACTGGTCTATAGAAGCATAATTATCCTAAAACGTAACAATATTTACCTTTACCAACAAGGGCACAGCAATGGAATTGCACTCGATTGAAAATTATCCAAGCACTCTTGCGATTACTGATTTCAAACAAGAAAGTGCGCAATGCAACGGTTCAAGGATGGCCACCATTAAGTTTACTTCGTGCGCTATGGTTTTATTGAGAATATAATTATGCATCATATATTGTTTTTCCAGTAGCAATGTTCTTCGGTGAAGAATGATGAATATGACAGGTATAAAGAAGCCACCAACGGAAGGGTTTCTTGTGCGACTGACAAAGCCGGTTTTCTGGCTTGTGCGCATCGCCGGCCATGGAGTATCCATATTCGCAAGCAAACAGCCGTACGGATGCTCGCCGTATTTTCTCATTAAAAGCGCGATGCTACTTATCTGGATACATGCTTTGTTGGGAGGCCAAATTATCATATCATGCATTAAAATCGTCAGCCGCTTTCCTTCAACAATTAATTCGGCCGCTGACATCGTGGACGTCGCTAATCTATTATGCTCCAATACAGCGCAGATAGTCGCTACGTTCTATTTTTTCCTGGTGTCCCCAAGATTCTCTTATGCCATCCACAACATTGACACATTGCTGCAGAGACATTTGCGAAAAGCCCATAAATTTTACGTGAGGGTCTTCTTTTTGTGCTTGATGCTGCTGATACTAGCAAACAACGTTTATGATGTTTACTCGCAAATTCAGAGTGACGCTTTGAATCACAACGAACCATATGATTGGATGCGGGTCCTTGGACCTCTCAATAATGCCAAAGCGTCAAAAACCATTGGCCGATTTCTCGTCGTGTGTGATAGCGTGAATACTATAGCAGGCCAATTAACGCGCGTGGCGCTGTTCTCAGCCGTTCTCGCTATTGGACTCGGGTTTCAAGCACTGCTCAACGATCTGAAAATTTCGCTGCACAACCGCTTTTCCTTTGCGGCGTTAGAGCAAGGAATCGAAGCACATGACAAACTGGTCAAAGTAGCCAGACAACTGGAAGATCTCCAGAGTTTCGTATCTTTCTTGTTCACCGTCTTTGATATCTTGGTAATTGTGCAATGGATATCAAAGGCTCGACAAGGAACGGTCCATGCACCACCGGTATTTCTTACAATGATAGCTGTGGATCTGACTGTACGAATGGTGGTGCTAATTTACACCAGCGAACAGGTAAAGTTTCAGTACTACTGAGCAACCACTATGAACTTATCGGTAGATCTAGAATCCTACAACCATGTCGCTGGGCAGGGTGTCCGTTAACGGATTACTAGTTTCCAGCTGTATTGTCAGAGGCACATGACTGCGCCTGGTGCATACGGCCCACCATGGACGTACTGCACTCATGCTTGCCATACCGCCTCTCTCGCTGTACGTACGTGTGCTGCTGCACTGCACTCATACCCGCTGAAGCGGATATATGCGGCGCACACACTGAGCATACTTGCTCTCTCGTCCCTCTCTCGCTGTATGACTCAGCGTACGCTCGCGTTGGATTGAGTCCAGTCTGCGCATCATCACACAGCTGATGGCACACAGCACGTGCTTGCCGCCAGTTGCTTCTTTCACGCCTTGACGAACGCTCAAGAGCTCTTCTAGCATTCACTTGCTTGTTAGCCATCAGTGCTTTGTTTTGCTTTCCCTGCTATTACGCAGCATTGTTCCCTTTATTTGTACAATAAAGCACACTCGTGATCTCCTCGCGCTTGCCTGTTACATGGTAAGCAGAATCGTTTGGTTTTCTTTCGACGGAACCTTTGAGGAGACGGTGAAGGCTTCATTCACGGAGAACCTGTCTGGAAACCTTTTCAGTCTCTGTCAGACCGATTGCTGAAGCAATCTCTGCACTGACTGTCGATCAGAACGGTCGCATCGTCTTACAGCTGAGGAAAACGGGGATCACTGAAGTGATTCCTACCCAGCTGGTGAGCACAGTTCCTTGGTCTCTTCCACATTGAAGAGCGGAATCTCATTTCCCGAACGTACGGACATTTTCTTCTCCCAACTGACGGATCAGACTCGAACGAGAGTCTGCAGCGCGATAGGATTACTCCAATAATACGGGGACCTTCGCTTTGAACAGCGACCCGCAACTTTACTCGCGGATTTCAGCACGGAAACGACGGATTTCCGACCTCGGACGGAGGAAATCGACCGGAACCGACACCGACACCGACACTGGTAAAGTCACGGTTATAGGTCGATTTTAGCCGAAACTAGGTCGGCATTTCACTTTCTAGTGGTAGAAAACGATTTCTATCCGTAAGATTTAAATTTCTAACGGTTAAAAAGTAATTTTCGACGGAGAAACCGACTCGGAATTTTGCTTTTGGTCGAGAACCGACCTGCTAGGTCAACGAACCTGTCTAGACAGTCAGACAAAGGCTAACCGGCAACAGGTCGGAAATTCTCTTATTTTTGATTTCTAACGGTGTTTCGACCACCAGAAAATCTTCTTAATTAACAAAACTAATTTCTAACGGTTAAAAACTTCAAAATCCGACTAGATAAACTTTCTAGCCGACCTAAAATAATTTGTTTTTCTCGCGGGAAATAGCGCGAAAATTCTCGAACTTCCTTGTGACGTCATAACGACCGCTTATCAGTACTTAAGAGGCAGCCAATCAGCGTGCAGGGGAAAGTTCCCATAGCCTAACATAGGCGTGATTCATCGTTTTTTGCAAATTTTGCACGCGGCTCGCATTCCGTGACGTAGGCAGAAGTGCAAGACCACTTAACCTGTTACGTCACACTGGTCAGCACAGTAGCATAGGACGTACTACACCGTACTACTATTACGTACTGTACTGTACCATTGTACTGTATATTAATACCCTGTGTACTGAGTCACCAACAGACACATCAACAACAACAACAACATCTCACCGGACGGTCCTGACCCTTGGAAGTTCCTGAACAAAAAGACATTTTCTGATTTTGCCGAACATCTTCACACAGAAGATCGTTCGACTTTCTCTTTCTAACTGATTAAACTTTTAAGGCTCCACTAGAGCCGACCTGACTTGACAACAATGTCGAATCCCCGAGAGGATCAGTACGCGAGAAAGTTCAACACGGACTATTCTCGGCGTGCGAACATGACCGGGAAGTACTCACTTCGGTACGCCGGTCAAGACAAAAGTCAGCCGTCCTCAACCGACTCGACTAAGTC